TACCTAATTTATTATTTCCATTTATATTTTTCCTTGTTCATTCTTTTTATTTACTTCATTAGCTCTTTTTACCTTTTCTAGCCACATTTTTACTTACCCTTAAATAACAGATAGTACCTGCAAGAGGCAAACCCCAACAGCAATCGCACGTACCTAATACGAACTGATTGTAACACGTGCAACTCAGGATCGAAGAGCCACGGACAGCTGCGTACGGCACGCACGGAACTGTGCAAAAACAATTCGAGCGAGTTTAAAACTCGCCATAATGAACAACTTTTTCATACATCCAGCTCTTTTTTAATAAAAATAACTGTTTAATGCTGGCCACTCGCCTGTCACAATGTTGCCAGTGGAGTGGCCTGTTATGGTGGTGTGCAAACAGCGAGGCGCCAAAAAGCAAAATCTCACCTTGTAGATTTTGGCCTTGATCATGTAGAGCTCAATCAGCGTCGGAGTATGCTGGATGGCGCGATCGATGTACATGAGAGCCTGATGCACAGATCCCAATCTGTCGTAGTGCTGCGCCAGCAAATAATACAACCAAAGTACGGTGGTTGGCGTTTCAGGCTGCCCACTGTCTGCAATTCATCCATAAAACAGAATTCTAGAAGCAGAACACATGGATCAAATCAATGAACAATTTAATACAATAATATCATCATCCCGCGCTTCCTCCAACAGTTGACACTTTCCAAACGTATAGGATTTCAAACGCAACTCCGTAGAGTAAAGAATCAGCACCAGGAGAAAGTGCGATTCAAAAAAGTTTCGAAGTGCACAGCAGCAACAGAATTAGAGAGAGAGATTTACAGGTAAAAGAAGTTAAAAAGTACCATAGAAGGCGAAACCTGGGAGAAGTGAAGCGAAAAGAAGATCAGCATAAAGTTAAACAAAGAAAAAAGCAGAAAAAAACAGGCAAAGGAATTCATACAAAAACAACACTCACCGTCCAATGAGCCATTACTGTACCCGTTTCCTTCAAGCCTCTGCACGAAATCGAGGAGTGTACGCTCGAGAAATTGCACCTGAAAGATTCTCAAGTGATGGAAGCTGAAAGCAAAGTGGGACAAGGCGAGCACGCACTACTCTCATCCGAACCTAGCCTCGATCAGTCTCACTTCGTATAGCCTCGTTTTCTAATGCAAATTATCGGCTCCGATTTTGCACAGCTTCTACCGCGCACAGATTTACACTGGCTAAGGTAAGCCATGTCCGGGAAACGTATTTCGGAACCTCGTATAAGCAGGCGGAGATCGACTGTTCTTTTGAGCTATTCGACTGAACAGAAGCAAATGAAATGATAAAACTGATAGAAAACCGCTATTAATTTTGAAATTGAAACGGATCGGGCTAACAAAAAAAAAATATCTGCCAGCTCTCATGGCCGCAAAAGTTTCCTAAAATCAATAGCGACGTTCTAAATAAAATCGAATGCGTTTGCAGATGCGTGCAAATATTTTTTTTAATGCGTATCCGCATATTTGCAAATGCAAAAATGCACATTGTGACGACCCATGGTGTGCGTGTGTGTATATGTTTGTGTGTGTGTGTGTGTATGTGTGTGTATCTGGCCAGGTATTACAACTTGGCAACCAATCAAACTCCGACACTAAAATTAAGCCGGTGGGTCCCGTAGCCAATTGCAATCCCAGAGCCGTGGTACCAACTTTCAAGCACGTTCAGGCCTCGTGTACGAACACGTGAAAATTTTAGCGAGGAAAGTGCTAATTCGGGGCCAGAAAAGCTAGAAAGCTGAAATTTTAAAAGAATATTTTCAGTCCCGGTGAAACTTAAAGATTACCCCGGGAGCGCGTGGTTTTCACTTACCCCCATGAAATTTTCTGGCGGGAAAATCACTAACTCGGAAAGTAGGAAAGCTAGTAGGCTGAAATTTTGAGGAGATGTTTTCAACTTCACGTAAAAATTAAAGATTTCAAATTCAGCTGTGCGTAGCCCTCATGCGCGGGCCTGATTTTTTCGGCGGGAAAATTGTTAACTCGGGAACTGGAAAAGCTGGAAAGTTGGAAATTTAATGGGATGCTCCTTGCCCAATTACCAATTAATTGCACAATTAACTTCCGGAACTTTGAGGACCAATATGTAACAAATTCTAGCTACTGGAATTTCAAGCAATCTCACTACAGCACGAAATATTGCAAAAACGCATGATCGCACGAACTCGCCCGGCGCGCGTTGACAATAAAGCCAACTCGGACTTTCCAAATAAAATCGAAGGAAGCCTACTTGCACAGAAAGGGATTCAAACAGCATAATCATAAAAAAGGACCAGTTCTTTCTTAATCATTTGTATATGCTACTTTGTAAAAAGATAAGATGACAATTTTTATGCGTTTCCGCCTCCTCATACAAATGTAAATGACATACTGCCGAGAGGTTGTCAGCGTGAGTATTGGATTTTCCTCATCCACCTTCAGTTTAGCAACCGCTGAAGCAAGGAAGCTGGAACACTAAACTACGTGCCATTCCAACAGGCCAAACTCAACGCTCACGTACATCTGGGCTCATGTGCAGATTGTTAAAAAAACATGCAAAATTTTTTGGCCGAAAGCGATTTCGGGAACTGGAGTAAACTGGAAACTGAGATTTCATAGATGTGTCGTTAGGCTTCAAATTCCGCTTCAACGTCTGTCTACGTCACATGTACGGGCACATCAAAGGTTTTGCTGTCGCTGGGAAAATGCCAATTCGAGAACTAAGCTGATTAGAGTGTTCTTACTTCACGAAATACTTGTTTTCCATACGTGGACAATTAGGCGTAAGCTTTAGCCTAAGCCTACACTGCGCGTTTATCGAAGACACATATAACGAAAAGCGATTTCGCCAACCAATCGAACTAAGAAACTGGAACTTTGCGACGATATTCTACGCCAATGCGCGACCTAAATGTTCCTATTCAGTTTCAAGGCAAGCCTAGATTACGCACGCGCGTAAATAAATATTTAGCACGGAGCACTGCTGGCACTCAATTACTTGGTAATCAAACTGAGCAAGAAGCATTTTTTTTTTTTTTTTTGAGTTATATTTGCTGTTAATGTACGAATCACCAAGCAAACGATGAGCTTCTGTCCAGGCATAGGCCCTGCGTGCAGGTCTATTAAATGTTCACATCGCTGTCGTGCCCCTCATAGTAGTACAGGTGATCTCTTCATGGGACGGAATCACGCAAAAACGCATGAATGAATATCGGCAAGCCTGATGCATCGCTAACTGAACTGAAAACGAAGATGCTTTCGAATCTGAGCAATACAGTTCTGCCACATTAGTGACGAGGAGAAATGTGGCCAACATTTTTTTACCCAAATATGCTGGCACTGCAAAAACGCCACACTTACCTTATCAAAATCGATGTACAATGGAATGAGATACTTAAATAAAGATGGGATGCCTTTTCGTAGGCCCACTATCAAATAGTTCACCAGCAGACGCTCAAATTCAGCACCTAAAATGAGGATGAGATAGAGAGAATGATCGGAACGTATGAAAACTCTGATGAAGGCCTGAAAGCTGCTCAAAACTGTGTCACTCGAACTACAGCCAACTTTCCGCCACATAAAACCCAGGCTGAAACGCACCGGGCGGGCCCCGTGCGATCATGCGTTTTTGCACCGGCCTTGAATT